AGCTCATACCGATAAGGGGGGTGGGCGGAGACTAATACCGTTAAACTGGGGGTGTTAGCTGCAGCAGATGCATCTTATAGAAATGTAATGGCAGGAAAATGACCAAGCCAGGCTTTTGCTGCAGGCACATGATCCTGCTTTAATGTGCAAATGCTTCAAGCCGGTCTAATATCTTTATACTTACATTTGGAAAACACAAATTGTGTAAAAGACACCGTTTGCAACCTAGAAGCTTAATATATCTATTCATAAATAAGTACATCTATGCTGGGCAGCGTTTGGCTGACCTAATGTGATTTAGTAGTTGGAAATAAGGAGGATCCATCACCATGTGACTAGCCAGCCTTCTAGAAACTCCAGCAAGTGTACCACGTGGCTCCCTAGAGCTGTGGTCTGTGGACCTCTGAACCAGAAGGGACCCATTTCTATGTGCACTAAATCCTTTGTATCTCTGCCAATGAAGGCATTGATTGCTGATAGCTTTTGTGAATGTAGGGAAGCTGTGTAGTGAACAGGATAGCATGCAAGAGAAAACACACAAATTGCTGTAATAGGTTAGACCACTGTTCCATGTAGTCCAATATCCTGGCTCTGACAGTAGGCAATTCCAGATGCTTCAGAGGAAGCTTTGATAAACCATCCTCTAGAATAACTTCCCCACAGGGAAGTTTCTGCCATAATGCAGATTAGTTAAAGGTTGAGGGTATGGGAATCTGAGACCTAAGTTACATTTCTAACTTGCCCAGAGTTAGTGATCAAGTCACTTAACATTTCAGTCCACATTCCTAAAATAGAGATAATAGTTAATTACTGTAGGTTTGTTTAAATAGAACACAAAAAAGCTAATAAAATGGAAAATAAAAACTTAGGAAAATCTTTTAATTTAGAAAATACTGATCTGGCAAGTTTGCCATTAGAAGGTAATCTAAGAAATCTTAAATGCTTCAGATGGAGAGTAGCATTCTTAATGAAGGAATAAAGTCTCTGGACAACCCTCCCAGTAACATGAAGTCATTTGCTATTAATATTGCTACTTTGAACCAGGTCTTGGTAAACAGATATTAGCTTAGCAGAGATAGATGTAAATGATAAGGGAAGAGTCCTGGGATAATGCTCTGATAAGAAGCTAAGCCCTATGCCTCTTCAGCTGTTGGGGAAAAACAAGGGTGCTGTTACAGACCCTGCATATGAGGTATTAATCTTTCATATCAGTCTCAAGGAGTTTGAAGTCATCCTCCTTCCCAAAAAACACTGAGAAGGATGAAACTTGTTCTCTGTTTCAGCCTTTTGGATGCTGTGGAGGTGGGGTGGGGTCTCTTTCTCTCCCTCTCTTGTCCTACTCTTTAATAGTGGCAGAGCTTACTAGTACTGCTGCTTGTAATTTTTTCAAGGAGCAGGGTAAAACTAACATGAGTTTCACTGCCATTCATGGGGTTCTGAACGGACGCTATAAAAGTAACCAGAATCATAAATTTAACTCTTCAGCTTGGCAAAATTATGGTCAACAGCAGAGGCATTGCAAGAGTTTGTAGTCAGGAGGGATGACATTGCGTGACTTGCCAGTGTGAAACACATATAAAGTAATTTTTGTAACCATAGGGAAAAACTAACTTATTTTTAAAAAATTCATCCTATTTGCACCCTCTATGTATTTTACCAAGCCATGCCTTATACAGCATTTAAAATGCAAAAGACCCTTAAGTCATATTCTGGATCTAGTTAAAAGTTAATCCTCAATCACAACACTTTATGTTGAAATTGGCGTCTTCATGGGTAATTTGATTTGTATGATCTCACTTTTAATTGAGAATCTCCAAATATATTAAAAAACACATCCATCATGAACAGCATGAAAATAGCTAAATGTACTAATGCTGTATCTCTTGTCCTGAATCCCAACAGACTATTTTAATATGTGTAACTACTAAGTTCAGGTGACAAAGTAGATGAATAGGAAATTTAAAAAATGAATTGCCTTTCCATACCTTTTTGGCACACTGGTGCTGTAGTTTCTGTACTACTTGCACTTTCAGTTCTCTCATGGTGTGGAAGTGGTAACAAGCTTGTAAAAAAAATTATTTTTGTACAGGAAGAGGATGAATGGAAGGAATTCGAGCAAAAAGAAGAGATTGACTACAGTGGGCTCAGAGTTCATTCCATGCAAATAAGGTACCACTTCTCTCTCCTCCCCCCCCCCCCCCCCCCCATATCTATTACTAAAAATAGCTTTGTTTCTAGATCTAGTTCTGCAGAATCTGGTTTAACAAAAGGTTTGTAATACATTGTAGCCAACAATTCTATGCAGGCAAAAGTGAATTTGGAATTTGAATCTCTCTCTATATATATCTAAATCTATATATCTATATAGATATACATCTATCTATCTATCTATCTATCTATATATTATTTTAAAAAAATTCATCCTAGTTTGCACCCTATATGGAAATCCAGTTTCAGTAAGGAGACCCTGAGATCACTTTGTCTTATGTACTAAGGCAATTTTGAGTTCTCGTATTCAAGGTGGTGTATCTGTAACCCAGTCCACTCTTCAGCCTTATTTCCTAGATTTCTCGTGTTGGGGTTTCCAGCTCCACACAAGGCTTTGCTTTTTGGCACAATAGTAGTACTAAAGGTTTTGTGGCGCCAGAATATTGATCGTCTTAGGTTCAGACCTTAGAGAAGAAAGACTTCTTCACATTCTCCTACATAGACAATACCTTAGAGCTTTCTTGGAGGGAAAAATCAGTACAGGACAGTCAGACCATCCAGTTTCTTCGGTCACTTCAGCTCCACCACAGAAGTAACTGAATCCATTCACCCCACAATCCACTCACATTCTTGGTGTGATAAGAGTCCTCGGCCTAAACATTGTCACCCTGAAGAGAGGAAATAATACAACCACTGGCTTGTTGGGTATTGTCCAATAAGGACTCTTCAAGCCACTTTCTTCTGAGGCTATGGGGCATGTTAGCGTCCTCTGTCAGGGACTCTCATGATTTAATTGCAAAAACTTCTCATTTTTGTGTCCCCTCTCTGTTATCCAGCAGATCCCTCCTGTGATCATCTGTTAACTGACTCCAGACCAGGCTACTTGGGTAAATCCTGGCCTAGGATACCAGCCTAGTTTGAGGGAATAGGGGAAGGGTGGGGGTGGTATGACCACAGTTGTACAGAGCACATGGTATAATCATTTGTTGAACATAAAAGACATTAACTGGGTGACTAGATTTTTCAGCTGAGTACCCTAAAAACTCAACACACTTATTCTGAACAACACTATGGCCATGACTTGCGTGAACAGTCAAGTGGGCACTATCAGTCCTTTTCTTAAAGGAAGCCAACTCCTGGTCTGTGATCCTGTCCACAAGATCTCCACACTATCACAATGGAACACAGTAGATCAGAGGTCCCCAACGCGGTGCCCGTGGGTGCCATGGCGCCCGCCGGGGCACCCAAGTGCGCTAGCCTACTGGCCGCTGGAAAAGCAGATGCTGAAATGCCGCCGAGAAGCGGCAATGTCAAGAAGCGCTACCGCCGAAATGCTGCCGAATTTTGGCGGCATTTCAGCAGCGACGCCTCTTGATGTTGCCGCTTCACGGTGGCATTTCGGCAGCTGCTTGTCTGGTGGCCACGGTCCTCAGCGGCTAGTCGTCCGGCGCCCGCCCCACGGAAAAAGTTGGGGACCACTGCAGTAGATTATCCATGGATCTCTCTGAAGAAAGCAGTGGTTCTTAACCTGTGGCCCAATTAGCACACAGCTGTGGCCCATGTGACATCCTCAGGGCTGTATAGATAATGTGTGTGTGTGTATATATATATGTATAATAATATTCTGCAACCTGAGTTCCATCTACCCAACAAATTTGATGCTCCAGTAATCTGTGGCCTTTGGTCTTGAAAACCGAGATACTTGTTTTTTCCATGGAGGTCTAATCTTGCAAGT